ATATAAATGCTCGTGTTTGCAAAAACCCACAAAGAAAATGGGGTGAGGCGAGGCGAACACATTAGAGAGTGAGGGCCTAAACACTTAGCCCGCTCTAAACTAAAGTGAGACAAAACAGGTATGTGTAGCACCCCAAAATTTTCTCTCCCTTTTTAACCTTTTTGGCTTATGCTTCATTTCACTTCCATCTTCATTTATGCATTGCATTGTTCATAAGGCATGAGATCAAGAGTTTTTGATCTTCCTCGAGAGGAGAAGTTGATTTTCAAGGCAATGAGTAAGGAAGTAGTTTCAATATCATGTTATTCTCAAGATACAAAGGTTCTCATGCTCATCAAAGTAGCTCAGCAAGTTCACTCAATCATCTGAGGATTAGGGTTTCTTTGGTTTTCAAGGGATTCATCTGATCAAGCTCCTAGTGGCTCTAAGCTAGGGTTTTTGGTCAAAAGCTACTTGTGATTGTCTTCTTGAGAAAGAAAATATTCCATGGGTTAATTTTCACCTCAAGGGTTATATGTAAGCCTCATGGTTCATCACAAATCATTTCAAGGGTTTCTGAAGTGGATAAGGGAGGCATTGGATTCATCTGGTAAAAAAGTCAACTTTTGAGTTCTTGGGTCTTATTTGGGAATTTCAAAAGATCATCCATGTTAGTATGAGGTTTGAACAAGAGGAATCAAGAGAAATCATAAAATCAGAAGAAGTTGCAAAATTTAGGTTTTTAGAAATTTTCTAAGTGTTGAGATTCAGCTTTGAGGGCATGTTTTCAAGGACAGTTTTCTCGGTGATCTAAGCTTTAATTCAAATTTCCTCCAACCTGAAAGTTGTTCCTCATTCTTCAAGCTTTCTTTTGATACTAATAACACACCATTTGAATCCATAGAACTCAAATTATGATGCTTTAAAGGCAAGAAAATGAAGTTGTTGCTTATGTAATTGGTTACATCACTGTACCCAAGCCAAAAAGGCACATTTTGTCTAATGTAACGGGTTACATCACCACGTATCCGGTTACATATGCTGTTTTTTTTCCTCCAAAAAATACTACATTTTCAGCATTGTAGTAGTTGTAACACATTGTAATCACTTGGGTTCACATTTGCATCAATAGAAGGATCTAGAATGCTTCCAAATTTTGGTTCATTTCCAAATTAACTTCACTTTCCCTCCAAAATTCAAATAATTTCATTCCTAATTTCACTCCTAATACTAACTCTCATTCAAACCCACACTGCAAACCTAATTTACACTCCAAACCTAGAGCTTATTTAAGTAAATTTGCTCCAAACCTCACACAACTTCACTCACAATTTCATTTTCATTCTCTACTCTCTACAATTCTCTCTCACTTTTTTTCTCACATTCCAAAACCCTGACCAAAGCTCCATAACCAAAAGTCTCACAAATTGTATATTGCAATTTATGAATTCTTGAGCTAAACCTCCATTACATCATCTTCCAAAATTAAGTTCTGCAGTAGAAGTTGATTTGGATCTATATCTGAAGTTTGGAAGCACTTTCTTGAAGTGATTTTGAAGCAAGTTTATCTTATTGGATTGCTCTTTGAGTTTCTTGCTAGGAGTTCATTGGATCTTTGACTTTCTTTGTTTGATCTGTCAAATTTTGTTTGCAACAATTACGAAAGAAAATCTCTGCTTTGTAGGTTGGTGATTCTTAGATCCAAACTCATTTTAGCTTATTTTACAACTTTCACAATGTAGATCCTTGTGGTTTTGGTATGATTTTATCCATTGATTGCTTTGATTGTTGATCTTGATGTTTGCTGGATTTAATTGGTGTTTAATTGTTGTTATTTGATGTAATTTTCGTGATCAATTGTATGCTCTAACATGTGGACATTAAATGATTAAGTGGCTGAAAAGTGCTTTTGTTGAAAAATCTGTTTTGCTATTTTTTGCTGATGTAACGGGTTACATTATCATGTAACCGTTTACATTACCTTGCTTGGGCACCTGTTTTGCTGTTTTTTGCTGATGTAACGAGTTACATCACCATGTAACCGGTTACATCACTGTTATCTTTGAAAAATCTTGATTTCAATGGCTCTTTTGACATGCTTTAGTCCTCTAAACCTCATGGCTCTGTATGATGCATATTTGTGGAATTTTCTAGGGCTGTTTAACCTCTAGTTACAATATGTATGTGAATCCTTGATGCAAGATCTTTTGATTGTTGATTTGTTTGCATTCTTTATTTTTTCTCATGATGCTTAATTGATAACATGTTGAGACTTGCTTGTTGTTGTTGTTGTTGTATGTTCGTGATGATTAGATATTGATTCATGCTTGTGCGCATTATTGATTGATGAAACTCCACGAAGCATGTTCTTTTGTTTCATTGTGGATACTTGTGCATACTAGGTATTTGATCTTTTGACACTTTCTTATCGTGGTTGAATATTCAAGATATTTGATAATGATGCATGTTCATAAGCATTGCTTGATCTTACTTGGTGCATGTTAGTGCTTGATCCTTGCAAACTCATGTGCATTTGTTTAAATGTTGATGCATAATCACGCGTATTCTTGAATGTTTTGATTACAAGCTAATTGTTGCTCAATCTTAGTGACTTGCAATCTTGATGCTTGATTAGTATTTCATGATGCATTTGCATGCTCATTCTTCCATGATATCTTTGAATATGTGTCATGATGCTGATGTATACACTGCTGCTGTGTTAAATACATGTTGTTAAATGTTGTCTTGTCTGACCTGCTGCATATAAATATGTTATGTTCTAAGAATGCATGTTGTTAAATGTTGTGTTATGCTGTTGCTGGATTTCGTTACTGTATTGAGCTGAAGCGTTGTTATTGCTGTTGTTTTTGGTTTATTTTTTTGTTTTGGTTTGTTTTTGCATGTTCACTTAGGGCCTCATAGTCCAACTTAATTTTTGATTAACTTGGAGTAGGATAAATATCAGGTGTTAATCCATGCATGATAACGTTAGGTTAACTGCCCTTTAACCTCAACATTAGGTCCATCTTTTGCATGATTATATTAGGTAGACTTTCCTTTCTCATCCTCAACTACAAGATCATATTGCATGACAACATCTAGGTGAATTTCTCTTAGGTTTTTCTTTTCCCATTGAGTCTCTTTCTTCTTTCGCAAAACAAAATCAAAACATTTAATAAAGATGATGTGCATTGTATGCCACACGCCTTAAGCACATGGGAAAAGATGAGCAGATGCATTTCTAACCTCATCTTAGGGTACTTTGTGCACGAGACGTTTGAATCGTTAACACGAAGTATTTGATCCTATGTCACAGACTTTAGTGCAATGCACATCTCAAACAAAGTCAACTTACATCTGTTAAAACTCTTCAAACAAATGCAAATCATTTTATCCTTCAGGGTTGTCGTCAAACCTTTTTTCACAAAGGACATATTATTTCCGTTCTACCGCAAACAGACATCGACTCTAATTGTTGGAACGCAAACTTAACATCGCTCTGATTTCTCATTCCCGTTGAGAATACGCAGGCACAAGACGAAAAAGTCTTAGTGAGCAACCTTCCCCCTTTCACCCGTAGTCCTCTAAACTACGTTGACTTTGACTTTCCCATTGCACGAGGGAATACGTAAGCCTAAGACGACGAAGTCCTATCGAGTTTCCTTTTTGTTTTTTTTCCTCTTGGTTTCCGTTAGCAAGTAGACTTTAGATATACACACCCTTTGATTAGAACAACGAGCGTGGATTCCGTTGAGTACAACAGACGTGAAGGGGTGCTAATATCTTTCTCTCGCGTAATCGACTTCCGAACTCAGAATTTGGTTGCGATGACCATGTTCTTTCCCTTTTTGAGATTTCTTCGATCATTTTTTTTCCCCCGTCGGGATAAATAACTATCGGTGACGACTCTGTTTTTCTGCCAGTTGTTTTTCACAGTTGCGACAGTATACCTAATGCGTCATATCTGTTTTGCCACCCCTAATGATTTTAAGAAGAATGTAAAAATACACTCTTTTCAACATTTTTAGTAACATATTCTCTTTTAGTGAAAAAAACGTACGTGAGTCATACCACTTTATGTAAATATATTTCCAAAGAAAGAGACCTTCATATATTTCAGTAAATATGAGAGTAAGTGTTTGAGAAAATGTTAAAAAAATTAATTATTCTTAGCAACTCTCTTGATTTTATAATTCTATTTATTTTAGAGATCAACAGAAATATAATTTGTGATTATTGAGATTCTAAAAAGTTTATATTGATATTTGATTTATTAATCTAATATAATAAATAAAAAATAAATAATGCATTGATAGTATAAATTATTTTTACATTATCAACTAATGACAATCATGTATTATATCAAATGAATCTACAAATTTTAAATTATTTATATAATTTAACACTTTAAAATATTTTGATTATATATATATAATACTATTGTTTTACATTAACAATGCACTATATTAAACTCTAAAATAAAACTAGTTATTTTTAAAAGTAGAGTTTTTTTTAATAGAAATTACAAAAATTACAAATATCTTCCTTTAGTTACTCTTACTACACCTATATACACTGTAACTTTTTATTATCCTTTAATTTTGACTGGTACTTTGACCGATACTTAAATGGAATCCTAAACTTTTAATATTGGGAATTAAAAACAATTTTTTAAAAATATAATTAAAAATAAAATAGAAAAAAGAAAACGAATAGGTTTATTTGGTAAAAAAACGAGAGAGAAAGTGAGAATAACAAGAGTCAAGAACAGAGAGAAGGAAGAGAAGTCGCACTTTTTTTTGTTAAGGAGATGGTTTCTTCTCTAACTGGAATTATTCTATCATTCTAGTTTGAGAATCCAAATTTCCAAACCCATATGATTTTTATTCTCTTTTACTTTATTTGATTTTCTTCCATTTATTTATTTATTTATTCATTTTCATTCTCTACTGATTATTTTCTGCATTTTATTTTTCATTTTTCACACTCAACCGAGAACTACAAACCCTAATTATCAATCAATGGTTATCACTACTAAATCTTCCTCTAATAACCACCCTCCGATAATCGCGCCGTCATCGTCGGCGCCGCCGGATGATGAGGCTGTTATCACTAATTTCACGCCGAAAACCCTTCCTTCCCCGTGGGCTCAGGTTGTTCGCGGCGGCGAGGTGGAATCGCCTACTGGCATTCATCAATCTCTGCCTTCGTCATCGTCGTCTTCCTCGTCGTCTCTGACTGCAGGTGCTGCCGATCAAGCGCTGTCTTCTGATCATTCATCGAAGGAGATATCTACTTTGCAGCAGTCAAAGGAGGTTTCTGCTCCGCCTGCTCCGCAGCCGCCGGTGGTGGAGAACTCCGGTAAGACAGTAGATACCTCCGATGGTAGTGATGGCAATGCAGGTCGTTCTAAGAAGCCTGCATGGAACAAACCCTCTAACGGAGTGGTCATCGAGACTGGTCCTGTCATGGGTGCTGAATCCTGGCCTGCTTTGTCTGAATCCACTAAAATTTCTGCTAAATCGATAGCTGAATCGGCCTCCAAAGTTGCTTCTGCTGATGGATCAACTTCCACTTCTCAGGTTTTGTTCTAATTCTTGCCCTAATTTTCTGATCAGAATTTTTTTCAGGTAAGTTTTCTGATTACTTTATTGTTTTTTTAGTATAAAAGGATTGTACGATGAATAATCCCCTTAATCCAGGAATATTATTGTGGTTGATGCAAATTCTGTTTCTGTAGACTTGGGTTACCCAAGTTGGGTATACTGAGAATCCTTCTTTCGGCAGCATATAGAGGTTTATGGATATGATTAAACATTATAGATATAGATATGATAATGATAATATTGTGTAATCCAGTCCATGTAATATAAGGCTTATTCTGAACCCTAGTTGTTGATGATAAAACTTCATTTCTATTTATCAATTTTATATCCAACATTATGCCATTGTCTAACGGGGTATGTCTTTGCAAGGAAGTGTTTTATATCTTTTGCATTGGTAAATGGTGAGTGTTATCTGCTTGCATGACCTTTTTGTTGTTTTGTAGGGGCCTGTAATTTCACACCCTCCTCAGAGACATGGTACTAGTAACCCTAGACCTGGTTCAGCAGCAAACAGTAATATGCCCAATAGGCCTAGACCTATTAGGCCGGTAGGTGGCATCAACATCGGGCACGGTCCTTCTCATACTCAAAGTAGCTTATCCAACCCTCCTACTCCTCCACCACTGCCTCCCTTTCCTGTATATCAGCTCCCTCCAGTTAACTTTCGGAATATGGGGCCAAGTATCCCTGACTCTTCTCCAAGAGATCATCACCGAAACAATACCTGGGATGCAAGACCATTGGTAGGGGGTTCCTCTCGCAGGGGTAGTTTTGGGTCCCGCACACGAGGAGATGGTTCCTATCATCATAATAGTTATAGTAACAGGCGTGATCAAGATCGGGGAAATTATGTGAGTTCTAGAGATGCTCATGTTTCCCAACCAAGGATGCCTCCCAGAGGAATATTGAGGCACCCACCACCACCACCACCACCAAGTACTGCTGCATTTTTGGGCCCTCAGCCCATTGCACCCTTTCCAAACCCTGTTGCTTATCCTGGTTAGTATGTGTCTGTTATTCATTAATCCCGTTTCTTTGAAATTTAATATCGCTAACATTCCGTCCTTTTCATTTTAGATGTGTATTACTTTCCAGCAGTCCCGTTGGATCCTTTTAGGGGCATGCCATTCTTTCCCCCCAGCCCTTCTCCTGCAACAGTCTACCCTGCTGCAGAATCTTCTTTCTCCAATGTGATAGTCAACCAGATTGATTATTACTTTAGGTAGGTTTAATATGTTTCTATTATTTTTATTTACCAATAACCATTTAGACAATTGAACTCTCTATTCATTGCTGATTTATTTTTGACAGTGATACTAATCTGGTGAAAGATGAGTTTTTAAAGCAAAATATGGATGAAGAGGGTTGGGTTCCAATTACCGTGATAGCAAACTTCCCCCGGGTAAGTTAGTTGTCTTTGCTTAAGCACTAATATTTTCTGTAGAGCCTTCGAATATGTTATACTTCATGGTTGTTTTTAGTGAGCATCTGATGACCTCCAATAATCAATATTTACTTACAAAGCTAATCTGAAGCTTACTATGCAGTTATACTGATTGGATGGATTTTACTATATACATGGAGTTATGTTTTGTTTTTTTTGTATTAAATGTCCTAGCATTTTGCTTACAATATAAACACGCACACCGTCAGTTTTGTCCACATCTAGTAGTTTGTTTATTTTATTTTCAAGAAAAAAAAGGACTCACACAACAATAACTTTGAAGAGTTCAGCATTCACGTATTAGTTTATTGTATCATAAAGAAAAGTTAAGGAAAGCTACTTTTTGGAGTGTGAAATGAGAACAATTATGAGATAATTATAAGATAACTCCCATCATATAATTTAAAAATTTCTCAATGGTTACAATACCAGTAGGCACCAGTGAGTAAACTTTAGCTGTGAATGTGACATCACAGGACAACTTTTCCTTTCTATATCTTGTTTGCCAAAAAGTGTTTTTGGACTCTATTATATATTGTGAACTTACTAACAAAAATCACCGGGTTTTCCGGGTATTGGATGAATGCCAGTGGTTTGTTAGCCTAACACATGGTTAAGTGCTTCGGGTGGTTAGGGGGAATTGATAGTGGAAGAAACATTTGTTGGATAAGAAAATATTTATTAAGTGAAGCCTTAACATCTATTTTCCAAAGAAACTATTGTAAATTTATGATAAACTTGTCAATTATATGGCAGGCTTTCAATGGTGGGATGTGATGAAAATTGAATTTCAATGAATTAACCTACATTTTTCTGTGCAATTGATTATATTTTTCCATGTAATTGAACTTATGATAAACTTTTCCCATGTACCTGATTTTATTTTCCCACTCCTTTTTACGCGAGATGTTAGTAGGATTTAGGAAGACATGTGACTTAATGTGATTAAATAGATATGTAAATTGTTCGACACTTTCGATGGATAGATGACATTCTTGAATCAGTGCATGTCAATGAGTGGTTGAAGTCACACTTGTTGATTGAAATGAAAGTTGTTATTATTCTCTCTATAAGCATGGATGGGAGGTAGTTTGAATAGTAAAATTATTGAGTTTTGTTCCACTTCCATGTAAAATTGGTCAGTATCCTTATCATTATTGCACCAATGAACAACTGTTCTCAACAATATTCTATTATATTTTGTGCTATTAACATAACTTCACACCTCAACTGTCACGTGCTCAAGTTAATTTTAAACTTTTAATGCAATGCTTGTACTCGTGATGCAATAGTGTAAGAGAATACAGGTTATGAAGTTATTAACGACTATTTCATAAAGATTTGATTTTGTCATGTGGTAGTTAAATTTACTTTTGATATCTGTTAAATTTTCAAAATACATAGCACCCTAAAGTTTGTCAAATTCTACTTTTACAGGTTAAAAGTTTGACAAGCAACGTTCAGTTGCTTCTGGATTCAATGAAAAATTCAACTGTTGTGGACGTCAGGGTGAGTTTTCATTAGCATTCTGTGCCATATTTTCATATTAATCATTTCTATACACATATCACTAAAATTCACTATTTCTATTACATTCTTTATTGACTTATTTGTTAACTGTGTTGCAGGGTGACAAATTGAGAAGACGTTATGACTGGGTGAAATGGTCGTCCACTTCTCAGGTTCAAGTTGATTCTGGTTCAGTTTCATCTGGTGAATCGAGCTACAATAACCTCGCTGCGGATTTGCAAACAATCAATCTGGAAACAACAACTAGAGCTGAAGGTGAGTCTCAACACTCTAATGGTGGCGACGATTCTGGGAACACCCATTAAAACTGTACTTGCACTTATTGCTCATCTGAATTCTCAACCTTGTTTACTGTCTAAATTTTATAGCCTGTGGTCCATTATTTTGGAAGTTTTTCTTATTTATCCTCTTTTCTTTTGAGGGTGAAGGGAGTAGAGGTGGTATGAAAGTTGATTCTCTCTACGGTGACTTGGCTCGATTTTGACAGTAATTTTAAATTAAGTAGTGACGAATAAAAATAATTCACAATTACTACGACAGTCTAAAGATAAAAAAGAGTTTAATGAGACTTAAACTTTGGAATTTTGCCTGAGGCGGATCTAATGAGATCATTGATTTGTATAGGTTATATTTATCATGGATTTTTTTTCTCTCTATTTTTGATGGTTTGTGGTGGAACGGGTTCGATAAACTCTGTAATGGGAATTTTGCTCTTTAAATGAATGAGTGTTGTTGTATGTCTGAATGATTGATGTTTTTTTGGTACCTTATTTAGTAGCTTGTTTGTATACCTTTATACATATGAAATTATGAAATGGGATAGAACCATTTTTTCTCAAATGGAAAGAGTTGAAAAAGTTTGTTAAATGATGTGAAATAGACAGATATGTCATTCCGTTCCACACCATTTGTTTTTAAGAAATTCAAATAAAAACTTTTATTTTATTCTATCGCATACCATTTCATCAGAACCTAAAATGATTTTGCGGAGTTTTCAATTAAGATTATTTTTATCTGAACCATAGTATTTTTTTTTGTTAATAGTTTGAAAATTTCAGTAAGATATATATTTTTTAAACCGATAGTTTGTCTTTATTTATTTCTTAATTTTATGTGCTTTTTTTGAATTTAATGAGGTCAGGAATATAATTTTTTATTTATTGTGCGTCTGAAAGTTTAGTTGATTCTCCACTATGATAGTTGAATAAATTGTTTTCTATAATTAAGACTGATTTAAAGTAGATCTAAATAGTATTTTATTATCTTTTTACAGAAAGATATTTAAATAAATAATCGAGTAAAAGTGTATTTTTTTAGTTTAATATATTTTTAGTCAAAACAAAGTATTAACAATGGCATTGTCTCATGTTTTGGTCAATGCAATTTTTTTAATTTAATAAAAGTGTGTAGGACATGTAAAGATTGATTTGACTATAAGAAAATAGTTTTATGTTATTTGCAAGCTACACAAAGTTTTGTATTGGTTGCAAGCTACACATGCTTAGGACCTGTTTATGATTTTCTCTTTTCTATTCTAGAGATGTGTTAGGCTAATGCATGTTATTGATAGAGTATTGTGTTTATGATTTTCTCTTTCCTATTCTAGAGATGTGTTAGGCTAATGCATGTTATTGATAGAGTATTGTGTTTATGATTTTCTCTTTCCTATTCTAGAGATGTGTTAGGCTAATGCATGTTATTGATAGAATATTGTACTATCTTTAAATATTGTAAGACATGATTGGATATATTTGGGGAATACACAATTTATTGTAAGAAGTTTTTAAGTTTCAAATACTAATTTGAATTTGTTAGGGATGTTCTATTTGATATATTTGACAACTTAAAATATTTGTGAACAAAGAGGTGTCTGTGAATTTATTGATTGATTCGTAAAAGGGGAGTACCGACACTTAGGTCAATAAATATTCTGGTATATGATTGGGTAGGAGACAAACATGAATGTGTGACCATGATTAAGGATTTCCTACATGTGGGATTGAAGATTGGATGTTGTACTGTGAGTCATACAACACCTAAAGTCTTAAACATGAATGTGTGACCATGATTAAGGATTTCCTACATGTGGGATTGAAGATTGGATGTTGTACTGTGAGACATACAACACCTAAAGTCTTTTCAAGTAAAGTGGTCAAATACGAGAAAATTTGTTATGAAAATTAACATACTTTCTTACCGTTTGCCTTTGACTCTTTTTCTAACATCAGATACATGAATCTTTTAGAGAATCTAAAGACTCATTGCATAATAATATTGTGTCCACTAGGTCAGTGAATGTTATTTTTAATATGATTGATTAAACAATAAAAAAAAGGTCATGGTAATGATGCAACTTGTAGTCCATTTGCCTTTTATTTTTGTAAATTTTTTATCATATATATTTTATTAAATTATAATACAAATGGGACTCAAGTAACTCATAATCAAATTGGTTTTATGTCTGAGGGGTCGATCATGAAAGTGATATATTACAAAGTGTAATGGAGCAGTATTAGATGGACCAACAAGACTTTCACTTACATTTATTGACTTTGAAAATATTATATAATGGAGTGTCTTGAAAAATTAGGATTACATATATTTAAGTTATCCAAGATATGCATGAAAGAGATATAACTAGTGTGTCGACACAAAGTGAAGAGACAAATAATTTTCTCATTACAATAGATTTGCATCTAAGTTCAACCTTAAATCTATATCTTTTTTATTTTAATTTTGGATGTATTTACAAAACACATCTAAAAGTTACCATAGAGATGCATTTTGTGTGTATAGATAATATAGTCCTATTTGAATAGTCGAAAGAGAATTTAATTGAGAGGTTGGAGACTTGGAAACGAGTTTTAGAAACACATGTCTTTTGCTTAGGCAAAATTAAGACAAAGTATATGAAATGTAAATTCAACAAAAGAAGAATAATTTCTAACTTATAGGTGATAGTTGAACACTATATCATCACATAAATCACGCGGTTTATATAATCTTGGATTTGCAATACGAAATGATGGAGAAATATAAGGAGGTGTATACCATTAAATTTAAGCTAGGTGACTGAAATAAAGGAGGACTTCAAGGGTTTTACGTGACACAAAAGTACTGCTCAAACTGAAGGGAAAATTTTATCAGACCATGGTGAGGCCTCTAATGTTGTATCAGATAGAATGTTGGGCGGTTAAGAATCAACATGAGAATAAAGTAAGTATATTAAATATGAGGATGTTGTGTTGGATGCGTGATAAAACTAAATATGATAAGATTAAAAATGTCAATATTAAAGAGAGTGTTGGGATAACACCTATACTAAAAAAAATGGTGAAAATTTTGTATATGTAGAGAGAAACTTATAGATTATGTGGTAAAGATAATAGGTAAGATAAGAGAAGTCAAACAATTATAGGTAGATGACGATTTAAAAAAACCATAAGAGAAATATTAAAAAGATTTCAAGATTAGTGATTTTGATACAAATATGATTCGAAATAAAATATTATAATAAAAGTTGATTTATTTAGTCAAACTCATTTAATAGAATATATAAATAAAATAAAATAAAATGTCATACAATATATTCCATTAAGAATCTGTCCATGATATAAAGTGATTTTATGTGCATCCTTCAAAGTTTTAATTGATTTTTATCTAGGTATGTTCTAAATATTATTAATGTTTCTTTCACAAAAGTTCAAGTTTTAAATAAAAATTAATTAAATATATTTTAGAAAAAGGAAATAAATTAAATTATTAATTTTTTAAGCAACGACATTTAAGAAGCAGAATAATTGTAACTTGATCCAAATATTAACTTGAGTTTAATATTTATAAAGACTTCTATAGCAATACATAAACTGTATTTAAAAAATTTGGTATCATTGTGATACTTTTAACTTAAACTAGATTTTTATGGAGATTATAACACGAATTATGATATATATATAATAGAAATGCAAGAGACTAAGAGACATTAAAATAAAGCGTGTATTTTGAAAAGTATTACAGAGACATTGAGAGATTACAATTAATTACATGATGTGAGACTATTCTATATATAAATATTCTTAACATTATATATTTACTGTTGGAACTTTAATTAATTAATGGTGGAACTTTAATTAATTATAGTGGGAATTGGAAACATTTATTGACAATTAATGAGCAATAAATGAACACAAGTGAGAACTAATATAGAAGTGAATTTGAAAAGATTCATTTTAGTCCCACATTGAAGGGAATGGAAATATTAGTAGTGTTTAGATGAATTATTTTTTGGACCTGAATTTATATAATTTAATTATCATTAATTAATTAATATAATTCGGTGGAAAATTAATTAATAATAAATATTAATTAATTAAGAAAATAATTGGTCAGTCAGTCCTCCACGAATTTCTCAGTCTCCCACCATTTTCTCCACTCCCCACGAATTTCTCAGTCTCCCACCATTTTCTCCACTCCCCACGAATTTCTCCCCACTCAGGTGCAGTTTGCTGCCTATAAATACAGGGTAGAAATTCAGAAGTGGGTACATCGGATTTCACAAATTCACACGAATTTTGATTTCCCTCTTCTCTTTCTTATTTCTCTTCATCTCAAAAACTCTCTTTTCTTGACTGGTTATTTTCACCAGATACTTAGACAGGTGTATTTCTAGAGCGATTCATCAGTGTGCAACTGATAATCGTAAGTTGTTTGAACGGGCTGTTTTATCCTGGAGGCGTCGTCGTAAATTCGACTGCTTTGCATAATTTGGCAGTACGGCGAAACGTCTTAAAGAAAGCGACCTAGTACGCGACTCGTCCCGATAATTTCCTTGTGCTAAACTTTAATTTTCAGATCCGAAGAACAACAATTTAAGACGCTTTCATAACTGCCATGGCAACTGAGGAAATTATCGGTACTACTGCGGCCGCTTCGGTCTCTGACAAACCTTTCAGGTTTGAGGGTTCCAATTTCAAACGTTGGCAAGCTAAGATGAAATTTTTCTTAACTCTGAAAAAGGTTGCCCACGTTCTGACTGAGGATATCCCGGTTGTCCCTTCTGCATCATCTGAACTACCTAACGGTAACTCACTTGCAGATTCAGACGGGACTTCCAAAATATCTGACTCAGATGCTGCAAAAGCTAAGGCTGCAGCAGATGATCTACAGCTCCGAAAAGAAATCGCCTTATGGCACGAGAATGATTATCTGTGCAAAAATCACATTCTGAACAGCCTTGCTGATGATCTGTACGACTACTACAGTAGCTACAGAACTGCTAAACAGGTTTGGGAGGCTCTGCAAAGAAAATATGATACTGAAGAAGCAGGTGCGAAGAAATCTGCTGTCAGCCGCTACTTGAACTACAAGATGGTGGATGAGAAGTCGGTGGAAAGTCAAAGCCACGAAATTCAGAAGATTGCTCATGAGATTATTACAGAAGGTATGCCCCTTAATGAACAATTTCAAATTGCTGTAATTATTGAC